TATTATTGTCATTTAGATAAATTTAATTGAATAATTATTAAAATCAATATCAATTTTTATTTTTTATGTTAATTAATATAAAGAAGTCGTTTACACCCATTTTTGCAAATTAATTAAAAAGAGCCACATATTTCATTTGTTCTGAATTTAAAGGGGTCAACAGTTAGTGGCTACAGTTTTATCTTTAGATCAGTTTGAACAATGGTTGTCACATAATTAGGAAATTAGTTGGTTTGTTACAAATCTTCAACATGTTATTGCTAATTTTCAAGATTTTGTTGCAACTATACACCTTACAGCTGTTGATCCAAGAGGTTGTTGCAGATTTCATGCTACCGTTGGTTTTTAAGATACTATTAGCAGAATTCCACCATGCTACTAAGGTGTTATAAATACCCAACGAACGATGAGATCAAAGACGCAGGACCTGCTTTTTACACAACTAACTCAACATTATCTACATTTCAGTTTCACAAGCAATGTCTTAATTTAGATCTAATTTTTTCAAACAGCTTTTTGAATTTAGTTTTTAACTCTACATTGCCATTAGTTTTAACTCTAGTTTTTGTTATTTTGTTGTGAACATCTTCACTAATGTATTTAGTTTCCTGTAATTTAATTTATTACACTTTATCCTATATTCATCTTCCTAGCTTCTTTTAAGTTTAGTTTTATGCTTAAGCTTTTATTTCATTTTTTATGCTTTCATGCTTTCACGGCTGCATCACGCTTCTTCTTTGCAATTTAGTTTTTTTGCCATGCACTCTCTTTCTCCTCTTTTCCTTTATTTTTCTCTTTTATTTTGATCAGCAAACTAATATTTTGGCTTTAGTCATGGCTGATATTTTTCTAGGACAATTATTTATAGACTTTTATTCAAGAATGCACCCCAATTTCTATGACAATTGTTTGATCATAGCGCATCTCATAATCTATTTAACTAATGCTTTTTTATTGACTTGCAACCAAGTTCCATGCTTGGAAATAGTGATAGTTATCAAAAATAGTGAGAGTCATCGGAAATACCTCTTTCTCACTTTGAGCAATGTGAGTAGTACGTTTTCGTAGTTTTATTTACTATGCAGTCAAAAAAGAAGATTTTGGAGACAACAAAAGTACAATAAATATCCTTGAGTTTATTTATCCAGTATCCTTAACGCACAAGATAAAAAGTATTAATTATGTAATAATTATCACTTTTTGTCTTAAAAAATAAAGTTAATTTTTTCATTTTAATTGTAAATATCATGTGTTAAATATTTATTCGTTAATTTTAAATTAAAAATTAGAAATTATTTTTTAATATAAAATTTTAATTTTTTTTAAGAAAAGAGGTCATAATTAATACATAATAATAACCTTTTTTTTTCTTGTGCCCTTAAGGATATATAATAGATAAACTCAATATCTTTAGGGTATTTTGAAGAAAATATATCAATAAGGATATCAACTTTATATTTTACTCTATTTAAAGATATTAATTTTACTAGTTTTTAAATAATAATGTTAATTTTTAATTTTTTAAATGTCAATTTTTAACTTTTTTTATTTAAAAATTAATTAAATGATAATGTTAATGTGATAGATAGAAATTTTAATTAGAATAGTAAAACTTAATATTTTTAAATAAAAATATTAATTTTTAATTTTTTCGTAGGTACTTTGTAATTCTTTTTCGAATTTTTCTCATCTGCCCGTTTAAATTTGTTGTTAAAAAAAAAAACTCGAAAAAAAATTGTACAACATTTTTTGTTACGCCCTTAAAATTAAAACCCTTCACTGAAAAGGGCGAAAACCGTAATTCCAAAATCCCAAGAAAGGACAAAGAAACCCTTCTATCCATTTATGACCGAAATATCCCTCTGTCCTCTTTCACAAACCCAAAAACCTGTATTTCCCTTCTCGACCCTCACCGCTCTCCCTCTTCTGCCCCTCAATCTCCCTTCCTTCCATTGCCCTTTCTTTCTTCTTCCCGATTTTCTCCCGGATTTACCCGCCAAAATAAGATTCTGTATTTTTCAAATTCTCCCGGATTCCTCACTCCCCTTCTCCCTCACCCCTTCCTTTCTCCGCCCTGCAACGCTCGTAATACAAAACCCTAGTTCCGTGATTCCGTCGTGTCGCTGCGGAATCTGCACTTTCTCGTTGTTTTGGTTGATACCCAGTTGCGGTTTTTTGGAGGTTCTTGGCTTCTGTGGACTGTGTTTTGTTGTGTCGGGCTTTTGGATTTGGGGTTTGACTTTTGAGCTAGGGGTTTCCGATTCCTTTATCTAATTGGGTTTGTTGTTCCAGGTATCGTTCGAGTTCGTACTTACTCTTTTAATCGATTTTTTTGGTAATTTGTTTCTTGGGTTGCTCCTTTTGAGGGTGTTTATTGCTTCTGTTGTATTTTGGTTCTTTTGGGTGTTTTAATTGTGGCTAATTCTGGTTTTGCTTTGAGTTTGTTGTTTCTATTTAGTTTGGTTTTCTTTTCGTAGTTGTAATTAATGTTTAGAGTTAGGATTAGGGTTTTGAATTCACATTTTGGGTAATCTAGTACGGTACACAGCATCTATTTTAAGCTATATTGGTTTGTTTCGTTTGGGGATTTCAAGTAACCGACTTGTTGGTTCTAGTTTTTGTACTTTGTTCGGTTATCTTTTTATTTCATGCATTTTAGTGCAAAACACAATGGGGTTAGATTATGCCAACTCTAGCTTTAATTGTTTTTCTGTTTTGACTGATATGCTAGAGTTGCAGAAGTTAATGTTTATATGGAGGATATGGATGTGTTCTGGTTTCAACGCCCACAAATTTAGGTGTCAAAGAGTATCAGCTTAGGTTAATTTTTGAGTTTGGTATGTTCTTCACACATTAATTAATATTCAGTGTGTGTTTTTTTCTTCTCTTACTGATTTGATTGATGTCAAACAAAATATACCATTTTGGTTCCATTCCTTGTTATCCAATTGCTATTTAAAAATATCAAAGTGGACCTTATCAATGCATTCAATTAAGTTCAGAGATGTCTGAAAGGCCAGAGTTGTGAACTCAAAAAGAAAAGGATAATTAGAGCATTAGTGGATGGGTTGACCAATTTTTAATGTTATTTGTGTCTCTCTTTAAGTAACAATGATATTTTGCTTGACAGGTATGCATTGATAAGGGTAGAAAATCAGTTGATAGATTGGCTGTTTATTCTGTTGCTGAGACATTTTGATTCTTCAATCAATGGCTAATAATGATTTGATACTTGGACAAAGCCACAATTTAGCTCTGGGGCAGAATCAGCCATTGGTGATAGGCCATAATCATAATTTGGGTCTCACAGAGAGCCATAATTTGGAGTTAGGACAGGCTCGTGATCATCATTTGGAGTTGGGACAGACCCATGATCATGAACTGGGCTCAGGGCATTCTCATGACCATGAGTTGCGGTTGAGACAGAGCCAAGGCCAAGATGGGAATGAAGGTCACAATTATGGGCATGAGAATGAGTTAACCATTGATCGAAAACCTGAACATGGTGACCACGAGTTAACCCTATCAGAGAACAATGAGTTGGCTGTTTCTGAAAATCAAGAGCTTGATGAGAATCTGGAACTAGCTATGGATCAAAATCACGAAATGGGATTGGAACCTGGAGATTTGGCCATTCAGGAGTCCCAGATGATTGTTGATTCTCCTCCTGTCCTTCAGGCCCGTGCTATTGCTTCAAGTCCTAGTTATCAGTTAGCAGTGGGGCAAGAATTCCCTGATGTCAAGAGCTGCCGCAGGGCACTAAGGGACACGGCTATTGCCCTTCACTTTGAAATGCAGACGATAAAATCTGACAAGACTCGTTTTACTGCCAAATGTGCAAGTGAGGGATGTCCTTGGCGTATACATGCAGCAAAGCTCCCTGGTGTTCCAACTTTTACAATCAGGACCATCCATGAGTCGCACTCATGTGGAGGAATTTCTCATCTTGGTCATCAGCAAGCCTCAGTTCAGTGGGTTGCAAATTCTGTGGAGCAACGATTAAGGGAAAACCCCAATTACAAGCCAAAGGAGATACTAGAAGAGATTCACCGGGTTCATGGCATCACTTTATCTTACAAGCAAGCTTGGCGTGGCAAGGAGCGAATTATGGCTGCTATGCGTGGATCCTTTGAGGAAGGTTATCGGTTGCTTCCACAATATTGTGAACAGGTTAAGCGCACTAATCCAGGGAGTATTGCGTCTGTTTATGGAAACCAAAATGATAATTGCTTCCAGCGTCTCTTCATTTCATTTCAAGCATCAATCTATGGTTTCCTGAATGCCTGTCGGCCCCTCCTTGGTTTTGATAGGACGTTTTTGAAAAGCAAATATCTTGGTACTTTGCTTCTTGCCACTGGTTTTGACGGTGATGGTGCTTTATTTCCTTTGGCATTTGGTGTTGTTGATGAGGAGAATGATGAGAACTGGATGTGGTTTCTCTCTGAACTTCATAACCTTCTTGAAATTAACACAGAAAACATGCCCAAGCTTACAATTTTGTCAGATAGGCAGAAGGGTATTGTAGATGGTGTAGAAGCAAACTTCCCTACTGCTTTTCATGGATTTTGCATGCGTCACTTGAGTGAAAGCTTTCGTAAGGAGTTTAACAACACAATGCTTGTCAACCTTCTATGGGAGGCTGCTCATGCTCTGACTGTAATTGAATTTGAAGCTAAAATTCTTGAGATTGAAGAGATATCACAAGATGCTGCGTATTGGATCCGACGGATTCCCCCTCGTTTGTGGGCAACAGCTTATTTTGAAGGAACAAGGTTTGGGCATCTAACAGCAAATATTGTTGAATCATTAAATTCTTGGATTTTAGAAGCTTCTGGGCTTCCAATAATCCAGATGATGGAGTGCATTAGGAGGCAGCTGATGACTTGGTTCAATGAACGCCGAGAGACCAGCATGCAGTGGACATCCATTCTCGTTCCTTCTGCTGAGAGGCGTGTGGCTGAAGCTCTTGAACGTGCACGTACCTATCAAGTGCTTCGTGCTAATGAGGCTGAATTTGAGGTTATATCACATGAAGGGACGAATATTGTGGACATCCGCAATCGTTGTTGTCTCTGTCGGGGCTGGCAGTTGTATGGTTTGCCCTGTGCACATGCTGTGGCGGCCCTTCTTTCTTGCAGGCAGAATGTCCATCGGTTCACTGAAAGTTGTTTCACGGTAGCAACCTATAGAAAAACTTATTCTCAAACCATTCATCCAATTCCAGACAAAAGTCTATGGAAAGAGCTATCCGAGGGAGATCCTAATGCCAGCAAAGCTGTTGAGATTGTTATCAACCCACCGAAGTCACTTCGGCCACCAGGTCGACCTAGAAAGAAGCGAGTTCGGGCAGAAGATCGTGGTCGTGTAAAAAGGGTTGTGCATTGTAGCCGTTGCAATCAGACTGGCCATTTTAGAACAACTTGTGCTGCACCTATTTGAGTCCTGACTATTAAAGGCTGAATGCTGCTCAAAAAGTGGGTATGTCCCTTCTGTGTAAAGGGGTTCTTGTTTTATTTTACTTCCTGTAGTATTAATTAGTTATTACTTTAGATTTTTAAGTAAATGTTTTAATTAGTTTTATGTGGCATTTTGTATATTAGGCTCATTGTCATTTGCCGGCTTCCCACTTGGCCTATATGATTACTCAACTTGATAATACTATTTATGGGTTGTTGAGTCCATTATTAATAATGCCTTGGATTCATGTAACGTTTTTAGTTGGCTCCTTTGGGTTTTGATTTCATGTTATGAGCTTGTCATGGCCGAGCCTGACCATTGCATCAACTAGCATAGTCGACATATAAAATGCCATCAGTCACACTTCTATCTCCAAAAAGGAAAATGCTAACAGTCATCTGCATCAACCTTAAGAAGAATGTATCTAAGTATTTTCAATGCTAGCTACAAGCATCTTCGTTTCTCCCATGTGATCTTTTCTTGGCTTGTTGTCATTTTCCTTTATCAACGAGTGGGAATATTTGAAAATGTGTCGTCGTTTATCTTCTTTATCTTTATATCTGGAAGGTAGAGTAGAAAGGCACAAAAATGAAGATTTGCACAAGGGCACTCAGCATCAGGGAGGGAAATTGCTGCATCTTACGCCTAACAAGTAGCATACAAGTAATTTTAGGTAACATAGTTCTGATCATTTAAAAATTCAGGCGAGTATGAGCAGGAAGTCAGAGAATGTTGCATGCGTACCTGTATCGTGCATCATGTAACGAAGGCTCTAGCCAGCGTGTTTATTGCTCTACTCATCGGTAACATGTTGATGTTTGTTGGAACAGATTAAGAATGCGGATGCTTCATATTTTTATACTCTAGACATTGTTATATGGAGACAAATAGAGGCAGTGAAGAGATAGAAGGGGCAAAGGCATCTGTGCTTTATTATTATTATTATTATTATTGTTTTCAGCTCTATCGTCAACTCGTTTTGTGGTTCTGCAACAAGTCTAATAGCAAGGGCAGGGGCAATGCCTGAGTCCTTTTCTCAAATCTACTTAAAAAAAAGGGGGGGCAAGACGCATATAAAAAAGGGCAAATATTTTTAATAAATCAAAATAAATGTTTAACAAAAGATATAAATATTATTAATAAATTAATGTACATGAGCATCAATCATTAATAATTTATTAATAATATTTAAATAATTTTATATATTTTAGTATTATTTTTTGAAAGGTTGATTTGAAAAATACTTTACTGTTAAAAGGATAAGGTAACTCTCTTTTTTGCATATTCTCATGTGGTTTCAGTAATGGTCACATTGCCCTCAAGCAACAAGTGGATTGCACTTCTGTTTGAGTCTTTCTAAGCATAAAGAGATATTAACACTAATTATAATCATTTTCAACTGTCAAAAAGAAACATAAAAAATAAAAAAAGAAAGAAAGGTAACTCTCTTTTTTGCATATCCTCGTGTGATTTCAGTAATGGTCACATTGCCGTCAAGCAATAGGTGGATTGCACCTCTTTCAGCTGTTCAAGTCTTCCTAAGCATAAAGAGATATTAACATTAATCATAATCATTTTCAACTGTTGAAAAGAAAAATAAAAAATAAAAAAAAGAAAGAAAGGTAACTCTCTTTTTTGAGAATGTGACATATGTTACCATTTATGTACCAAATATTTCCATTAAAATTATTATGTCTTTTTTTTTGGCAGAAAACAAAGAGATAAGTATTAAGTCATTATCCAAAAAATAAAAAACAAAGTATCAAGTCCAAATAAATACAAAAGTTAAACTAAATCAGCTGAAAAAAGAAGAAGAAGAAGAACATACAATAATCAGCCCTTGATGACCTATTGCCAATAATTGATGCTCAATTCCGATCCTATGCACAACAATAAGAACTAGAGGTTCGTATATCTTTTAAGTGTTTTAAATGATTAAGAAGCTATTTTAATTACATCTTGTCTTCGAATCAATTGGTAATCTGCTAGCTTGAAGTTGCATTTTTTTTCTCTTATGGAAGTTCACTTTTAACAACTTGTTAAAAAAGAAAAACTATTTTAATTAAAAATCTTAAATATAAATCTTCATATACATAAAAAGAGATTACTAATAAGTTTGGGTTGAAAAAAATGAAGGGAAGAGAGGAAAAAAAATTGCTTTATTTTCCTCATTTTTTTGACTCATCTTTATCCAAATATAGACTTAAAGGATGTACACGAGAGGTTTGTTAAATTCCTTAGCAAAGAAAAAGTTCCCAGGTCAACACCTGCTCCTGCTCCTATCGTTCTCTCTGCATCTCGTATTCTCAGACACTCCTTCATCATTTTCCGTCTTACCCATCTTGTACAATCATTGCATATTTGATATGCTTCTCCCCATAAGCATCAACAAATCAAGAACACCATCAAGCTCAAACCTTTGCCAGAGGCTCAGAACAGCACCTTGAACTTGAAGTCTAGATCTCCACCAATTCTGAAGTGGCAAGAAAGATAAAAGGTAAACATCTGTTGTTGCTCCTTATCTCTTCATTTTGGTCTTGTAGTTAACACATCTACAATATTTATTGTCTATCTAATTTTGCTGTCTACAGTTGGGAGATATCACTGAGAAAAGTAATGAAAAAATTCATGAACTTACACCAAAATAAATAATGTCTTCTCTAAAAATTCAAATCATTATTTTTTTGTTGTTGCAGAAAGCTTATTGGGGTCAATGGAAGTTGTATCTGTTGTTGGAGGGGCTCTATTATCTGCTACTTTTGAGTGGTTGCTAGGGAAGTTGGACTTGATTGGATCATTGAATTTACGGGAGCAAGTCTATGCTGAATTGCAAAACTCGAAGAATTTTCTGCCTCAGATCCGTGATGTACTTGAAGATGCGGAAGAGAGGCAAATCACCAGCCGTTCTGTCAAGAGGTGGCTTTCAGAGCTCAGGGACTTGGCTTATAATATGGAGGACATCTTAGATGAATTTGGAGTTGATTCCTTGAGGAGCAAGTTGAGTGTGAAGCCTCAAGCCAACACCAATAAGGTGTTGAAAATCATTCCCACATGCTTTTTTGGATCTAGACAAAAAGATGCTAAGTCTGATCTTGAGACTGTTTCCAGGATAAAGGATGTCAGTACCAGATTGCAAGTTATTGTTGCTGAGAGGAGTGCACTAGGCCTGAGTTTGAGCATGAATGCTGGGGATAGGCCTAAAAGAGGAGTTGCAGAAAGAGTTCCCACAACTTCTTTGCCAGTTTCTCATCTTTACAGTCGGGAAGTTGATATAGATGTTATTCTTCAGCAATTGTTCACAGCTGAAAGTGATCATGATGGAGTCCCCGTGATTCCAGTTATTGGGATGGGAGGAGTGGGTAAGACCACTCTGGTTCAACAGGTTTACAATGAAGAAAGATTGAAGGGTCAATTTGAGTTGAAGGTATGGGTCTATGTCTCTGATGAATTTGATGTCCTCCAGATAACAAGAACCATTTTACAGGCAGTGACAGGAGAGAATTGTGACTTGAAAGATTTGAATTTGCTTCAAATAAGATTGAAAGAAAGGTTATCTGGCAAGAAATTTCTACTTGTATTGGATGATGTTTGGAATGAGAACTATGACCACTGGGATATTTTGCGTAGGCCTTTGATGTCAGGGGAACATGGGAGTAAAATAATTGCCACAACTCGTAATGATAGTGTGGCATTGGCCATGGGAAGAAAACATTTAATTCATCGAGTGAAAGGCCTTCGAGAAGATGAATGTTTGTCATTGTTTGCTACACATGCATTAGGTGCGGATAACTTTGATGCACACCCAAATCTCAAAGGAATTGGGGAAGAAATTGTTAAAAAGTGCAGAGGATTACCATTGGCTGCGAAAGTTCTTGGCGGCCTCTTGCATGGTAAACTAAGCTGTGTTGAATGGCAAGACATATTGAATAGTGAGATGTGGGATTTACCAGAAGATAAGAGTGGCATTCTTCCTGCTTTGAGATTGAGTTACCACAATCTTCCTTCTCATTTGAAGCAATGCTTTGCCTTTTGTGCTATATTTCCAAAAGGTCGTGAATTTGACAAGGATAGTTAGTTTTGCTATGGATGGCAGAAGGGTTTTTACAACAAAGACAAAAGAGAGTGAAGCAAATGGAAGATGTTGGCTATCAGTGTTTCCATGATTTACTATCAAGGGCATTTTTTGAGCAATCGAATAGAGATAAATCACGGTTTGTGATTCATGATCTCATACATGATTTAGCTCAATATGTTGCTGGAGAAATACTCTACAAACTTGATCATATGTGGAAGGGTGAAATGTTAGAAATGAGTTTTGAAAGGGTCCGCCATTGTTCATTCTATCAGCGGATATGTGATAAATTTGACAGATTTCATGTGCTAGACAAACTAAAGTGTTTGCGAACCTTCCTACCATTATATCCATTTGATCATCACATTGATTGCTACATTTCTAATTCTGTGCTGCACAATTTCTTGCCAAAGTTGACAAATCTAAGGGTTTTATCTCTTAGTGGTTATTGTATAATGAAGTTACCAGAATCAGTTGGGGATTTGAAGCGATTGCGCTACATTAATTTGTCTCATACTGAGATCCAAAGTATACCTCGGTCAGTGGGTTTTCTGGTTTACTTACAGTCATTGATTTTACACAATTGCAAAAAACTTGCATGGTTGCCAACAACAATTGGAAATCTTCGTGACCTCCATCACCTTGACATTACTGATACGCCATCTTTGCAAGAGATGCCATTACAGGTGGGTAACTTAATAAGGTTACTGACATTGCCTAAGTTTATTGTCAGCAAAGCAGATAGATTGAGATTAAGAGATTTGAGGAACTTGTCACTTCTTCGGGGCCACCTATCCCTTCTAGAGCTACATAATGTTTTGGACGTCCAAGATGTTATGGAGGTCAATTTTGACAAGATTGAGGGCCTTGATGATGTAGCTTTGGAATGGACTTCTGATTTCCTTAATCCCCGAGATGAAAGTCAAGAAATGCTGGTCCTTAGTCAGCTAAAACCTCATCAAAATTTGAAAGGACTCACTATTAGTTGCTATGCTGGGGTAGCATTCCCATCTTGGATGGGAGATCCATCATATTCCAATCTAGTATATTTGGAGCTCTGTCATTGTCAAAGAAGCAGTTCATTACCATCTCTTGGGCAAATACCCTCTCTCAAAGAATTGATCATAAGCGGTATGCATGAAATGGAAAGGATGGGGCCTGAGTTTTATGGTGATAATCTTTCTTCTCCTATAGGCACCTTCCATCATTAGAGAAGCTCAAATTGGAAGACTGTCCAAAGTTAACACGTAAATTACCAGGCCTCCTTCCTTTGGTCATAAAACTTGAGATCGTCAAATGCCCAAGGTTAACATATTCACCAGTGAGTCTTCCATCACTTCAAGAACTGTATGTTCAAACATGTAATGAGGCTGTTCTCAAGAGTTTGATTGATCTCACTTCCCTCACCACCTTGAGAATTAGTGGGATTTCAAAGCTTCCTTGCTTGCCTAAGAGTTTTACTCAGTCCATGATAGTGGTTGAAGCTATGGAGATCAAAGAATGTGATGAGTTTACCTCTTTGTGGGAGGAAGGAACCAGTATAGAAAACCTTGCTCGTCTTGGAAGTATTAAAGTTGAGAATTGCCCTGTGCTTGTGTCATTGACAAGGGAAGAACAGGGCCTTCTGCCTTACAATCTTAGACATCTTATATTCAAAAAATGTGAGGCTTTGGAGACATTACCTGATGAGATGATGATGTTGGAAGGATGTAAAAAAAATATGCTGCGACTTGAGGAGTTGAGTATTAAGGATTGTTCTTCTCTCACGTCTTTCCCACCAGGCAAATTACCAACCTCTCTTAAAAGCTTGAAAATTACAAACTGTAAAAAGCTAGAGTGTCTACCAGAAGGATTGATGAATGGTGTTATGCCCTTTCTTGAGAATTTGAAGATAAGGGGTCTATCTTTGAAGAATTTTTGAAGTGGCCAGTTACCATCAGCTGTTAAGAGTCTTTTTATTGATAATTGCATGGAATTGGAATCACTTCCGATGAGAATGGTGCAGCAGTGTACAGCACTTGAAAACTTGAATATATTTGAATGCATTAAGGTGAAAAGCTTGGCTCTTGACTGCTTGCAGAGCCTAGACAATCTCTCTTGTTTAACGATAAGTGGTTGTGAAGGTTTAGAGTATTTCCCAGAAAGTGGCTTCTTCATCCCGAATCTTATGTTTCCTATTATATCAGATTGTAAGATTCTGAAGTCCCTGCCCAGCAGAATGTACAACCTTATATCTCTTCAAAACTTGTTTATACAAGGATGTCCAAATGTGGTTTCTGTTCTAGAAGGAGGTTTTCCCCCAAAGTTGATGTATCTTGAAATTGATTGCCCGAATCTGAAGCAGCATATGAGTGAATGGGGCCTCAAGAGGCTTACTTCTCTTGAGAGATTCTCCATTAATTGGATTTGTCCTCCAAATGATGTCCTTCCCACATCTCTAACCTCTTTCCATATGGTAAATGTCAGTAATCTGAAATCCATATCAAAAGGGCTACTGCAAAACCTCAACTTTCTTCAATCTTTATACATTGAGGATTGTCCAAAGCTGCGGTCCTTGCCAAAGGAAGGTCTGCCTCCCTCACTCGGACGACTGATCATAAGAAACTGTCCTCTTCTGAAACAACGGTGCTTGGAGGAGAAAGGAGATTCCTGGCCCCTCATCTATAACATTCCCTGCATTAAGATAGATGAGACTGATCCATATTTCGCCTTTATAGACTTTTGGCTGCTCTTCTAACTGTCTCTGCATTGGAATTGGCAGATATTCCTCCATGGACCATATATGGATCATGGATTTCTTATCAGCATAACAAATTTATGATTTGTTTGAGGTATGTTTGTGGTTTCTCATATGCATTGAATAAAAATATGCATTTATACTATACTTCCATTTGTTTATAAGATTAAGCCATCTTCATGTAGAATCATAACCTGAATTTTATTTAGTGTGTGATTTATACATCAACAGATCTACTATGCAAAATCAGTGAAATGTTGATACAATGCTTTTATGAATTTCAATAGTTTGATTTCTTTCTAGCACTTCTTTCATCAAATCAGGGATCTATGATATCATGTAATGTTTGTAAAAGCAAATTAAGCTGCATATATTTTCAATGCTGCAGGAACTTCTTTTCTGTTTATTATTTGCATTCTGAGGAATTTGCAAGGAGGCAACAGTGAAGAAATTCTACAAGCATGATTCGTTTTCTAATAGAACTTTTCTGCAAACTGAAACTAGCAGAGATCATGATCTTCGGATATTTTGGCAATTTTGTTAAGGGACAATGTCAAGCTGCACTGCTGCAATTGTTCATTTGGGGAAGCAGACGCAATCCTATGGAATCTTTGTATGTACTGAAAATCATCTCCAGTGTGATTTTGAGTAAGTAACTCTATGACTTCCATTTCATTCTATCGCTCATCTATTTTGAAGAATGTTTTGAGTTTCATGGCAAGCAAAGTGATCCAGTTTTAATGTTATCCTATGAACTCTACTGAAACTCATTCTTGAAGATGATTCCTTCAATTTGTTTTTTTCTTGTTTCTTGTGTTTACTACTTGCAGACTCTACTTTTGAGCTTGAGCAAATAGGAGCAGAGAAGCTCCTTGTTCCAATTTGATGTTGATTTTTATCTTCTTTGTTTTCCCATCTTTTCATCATATACAGCAGCAAATAAGGAAGAGTCATCTAAAGGTGCTTGATAGTGCCGTTATAGAGGTAAAGATAACAACACACCATCCTGGGGCTGCTGGCAGGAAATAGGTCCAGAATTACGGGATTTGCATGACAGCAAAGGTCAAAAAGCACTTGACACTGCTATTGAATGTTAATTGCAGTTTAGTTCATTGTGTGAATCTGGATTTTTGATTGGCACATAAACTAATGAAGACAATGAAAGGAAAAGATATTTCAACGTAGCTGTCATTCGATTCGAGTGCATACTGAGACAAACAAGGAGAGGCCTTTCTGATGTTGGCTTAATTCAGTTGAACATTGAGTCAAGATTCTGTCAAAAGGTTTCACTCAAAAGCAATTCTAGTTTTGAAGGCTGCACCCAATTTCCTATAGGAAGTTCTAACCTGTCTGAGATAGTTAATGAGTTTGATCACAATGGTCCAAGCAACCAAAGCCGGTGGGGCAAGTTTGCGACGTGCAGCAAATCAACACAGCAGGTAGAGGAACACAGAGAGGAGAAGGAAAAGGGACACAAATTCTGCATGTCATCTTGTTATATATTTCTTGGCATGCTTTTTCTATAGGTCACCATTATTGTTTTTACTGCTTGAAGTCCTTGAATGTCTGGTTTGTTGTGACTTAAGACTTAGGTTTGTCATGTCTGGTTTGTTTCTGAAGCTTTCTGGTGACTTGCTTGAAGATCTAAGGCTCTGCAGTAATTTACCCCTTCCATTGTTGGTCTGACTGAAGCCTTTCATTCAATAAAAGACACTGCTTCTACACGTTCACTTTGCTAGCATTTAGGCTATTTCCTCAAGCTGTGTCGGTTTTCGGGCATACCGTTTCAGAATTTGACACCTACTCCCTCGATCTCAAAATAACTGTCATTTTTTGAGACAAAGGGGTAACTACTCTGGCATCTTATAAGAATTCAGTTCTCTGTAGAAGTTCAATTTAGACTTCTATTTGCTGCCAACGTTGCTGGGCTTCTTCTTTAGGATCCATGCTTGAGTTGTGTAACAGTCCTCCCCCCACCCCTCAAGTTAAGGGAAAGATTAAGGTGAGAAAAAGTCCAAAAGAATGCAGAAGTATTGAATTGGCTAAAAAATATGGTAAGCCTAATGCACACGACAAATCTAACAAGTTTTACTGAATGATGTCCAACACTACAGTGAGAAGAAGCAGTAGAAGTACAAATACCATGGCAGTACTCAATTAAAACAATTTAGTATTTTGCTAACTTGATCTGCTGTCCATTTATGGTTTCAATAATGAAAATCTAAATCAAACCCAAGTTTTTAGTACCCATAGTTTGAGCCATAGACAGAGCCATAGCCCCCGGCATGGCCAGCATGTCCTGGGTTAGATGGGGGAGATGCATACATAGAACCATGTGCCGCATAAGGATTATAACCTTGGTCTGCAGATCCACCAGCCGGTGGTGGCTGGGCTGGTGCTGCAGCTTCAGCCATAAAATTCTGCGACAAAAAGGGAAAAATATACAAATATCAGCTTAATGCATGCAACAGAATAAACAAGGTTTGTAAATGTAGCTACAATTTCGTCAATATCTGAATAAAAGCCCACACTCAGCATGACAAAGTAGAACAACAATTACTCACAAATAAAGGTAATGGCAATTCTCACTTTCATATTCTTATTTTCATTGAAAATCATCTCCATAAAGCATATCATGTGAAGCCTGACATAACAAACACTTAAGTATCTAGGACCACATTGACTCATGCTGACTGAACTTCGTGCATCCTTGAAACCATAACACCAATTTTAGCCATAGAAAATTCAATTCATATGCGCTTTATAGCCATTTAGCATCACAGCACCAGACAACGTAAGTTTTTGACCAATGCACATGCACACAATGAATATGCATGCAATTTGCAGTATGAGGATAGAAACACTAGAAATTGAAGCTTTGTAAAATATCAAGTGACGGAAACAGATGGTTAAGAAATTGAAGTTTTTGGCCAATGTCCATGCACACAATGCATCCAATAGCAACATGAGAATAGAAAAGGTAGAAATTGAAGCTTTGTACAATATCTAGTGAACAAATAGCACTGGAACCAGGGGAACACTTTGCCTGGATTAGCTGCTGGGCAGTTTGAACTTGTGATGCAGTACCGCTAATTTCAACCGTCATTTCCCCAGGAACACCCCTTGTTTCTTGAATAGTAACAGTTGCCCCACTAGCACGTCTAATGTAGCTGATACTAGCACCAGCTGTCCCAATTACTGCATCAGCATAAGAAAGTGGGATTTGCATTTGCTGGGTGATCTGTAGAAAGACATGCAAAGCCATTATTGAAGAATTCAATCTCTTCATTGTGATTTATAAGTCTCAGAAGCAGCCAGCACTAATGTTGAGGCAATTTTAAAAATCAAGGAATTTTAAAATTTTAATATTTATTTGACGTTGGATTATTAAGGAACTTATAGAATTATCAAGAAAATTCTAAAGTATTAGAGATCCACACAACTTCTCCATTGGATGATAACAAAGGGAAACAAATGCAAGGAGAGGGTAGCCACAGAATGTAACAGTGTGAATTTTACCTGTGTGATCATTGATGGTGCAGATTGGGGATTTGATGATGCATGGCCACCCATCTGAGCATCTCTTCCATATGCAGAAATACCTTGATGAGGCTGCTTTTCCATAGGAGGTGGCATATCAGCTGGAGGGTAATAACTGTCAAGTTGCCTTGGAGGTGGCATGTATTGAGGATTGTGACCAAAACCAGGGCCACTGCTAGCATGAGCATGAACACCCTGAGGTGGACCCCAGGATTGATGAGGAGGCATGTGGTCCATCTGAGGATTCCCCATTTGCATCTGATGGAAAAGATGTAGCGTTTATTATGTTATACACAATCAAGGAGGCACAATTAAATGTTATGGAGATTAAGGCAGCAGACTTACGTGCATTTCAAATAATGGAATTATACTGCGGTCAACTAAAAACTTCCTGAGATGAGATGCAATAAGCTCCACTGCTTTGTGTACACCTGCTGCATCTCCGACTACTTCAACAACCCTATCATCTTGAAGGGCAAAGGCAGGCAGGTCTTCTGAAACAATTAATTTCAGAAAGAGAGATGTTAACATGTCATTGCAACCAAATTTGAAAAGTACCAAATAAAAATTATATATATTATAGAAAAAGGATAGAATGGAACAATATAATCAGAAACATAATCTTGGGTAGAAACCTTGTCCAAGAACTCTAACAATACAACTGGATGATTCTTGAATAGATTTGACAGTAGCTCCTTGTTTTCCAATCAAACTTCCAGCCTGTGAAGCTGGGACTAGCAGCCTTGTAGAAACCTTGGTTCCAGAAGCTGGTGATGGATGAGAAGAATCACCCTCCAATCCATCCACAATGCGCTTGTGAACCCTCAAAAGCCCATCCACAGCAGGTGGAAGGTGAGCATCAGGCTCCTCCTTTGCAGATACCATTACCTGTTCACAAGATACAGCAACATCAGCATAATCCTGAACTAGCCAGTACTATGATTCTTGTCAAAACAACCAAAGAAAATTGGAACATAAAAATGCCAATAATGCCTACTCTATCAGCTTTTTTTAAAAGGATTTCATTAAATGTAAAAAAAAGGAACAAAAAAACGGAAAAGAGGGGGGGAGAGAGAGAGAACATAAAATTAACGATTCCTTTTCACATTAATCAGTTGTAGATGAAACCCTATCAGCCGTATCCATAGAGATACTATTCCAAATCAAATTTGAGACCTCCCATTAAATTCCAAAGCAATTCTTACAGAACAGGCATAGAAAGCAAAAGGTAAACATCAAAGAGGAATTCATCTCAAAGTTAGCAATCAATCTTTAATGGTTCTCCTCAAAGTCCAATACAGATTACTACAATCTTACCCATTAGGAATAAGGAATTAAAAAAAAAAAAAAAACCCAGAACATTGCATATTCAACCAACTTTTTAGTTATTTTATCATGAAATAATTCACTTTTAATAGTAATAAAATTATCATGAAATAATTCACTTTTAATACAAATATTTTATTACTACCCAATATTTATCGATTGAATTCCTTTGCCAATAGAATGTACAATCTTATGGACAAGGTTCAGCAGTGAGACCTCAACCTTTCAACAATTAGGTTTGCTCATTCCATTATGTTGTAGAGAATTTCATATCATTATTCAAAGGCACAAGATTCTGAATTTTTTGTTAGGAAAATTAGGCCAAACTCACATGCATATACAAGCTTCTAGATTATTCAATAAGCTTAATTATTTGCATTGGGGTGATATTAACACCTAGTTATTATAAGCATGTGTGTTATAGTTCCAGACAAGAGTTTAGAATTAACTATAATTTTCAGGGTAAAATTAAACAGGTTTCCAGAGGAAATCAGGTTCCTTGAGGGGGTCAACTATCTGCGGCAAGACATCAATCATCCAGGTTCTGAAGTTACCAGAGCAAAAGGCAGAGCTTCTTGGTATGGTTGTTTGTACAAGATGTTTCTGTTTATTCAGATCAACTTTTCAGCACTTTGTAATGCTCAATGCTGAACCCTGCAATCTGGGACTTTGGTTCTTCAAATTTGGAGTCTTATCAATGATTGATTCCTTGCCTTAAAATTTGCGAACGGAACCTGCACAGACTCATTTTTGTTATTGCAAAAAAGGGAACTGTACTTATATTTTAGGGCTTGCTTCTGATTATCCTTCCTTACTGTCTTATTTCAGTTTTTAAGAATAAAAGTATGCCTTGTGTTTATTAAACCCACATTTTCTTAAATTTGAAAAGTGATGAACTATAATTATATAGTTAAAAAATTATATTTGTTCAAGTTATTGAAATGTAAAGCATTTTAAATCTTATATACACTACCTAAACCCACCACTATTGCTTCTTGCTCCTAGTTTTTTATAGTGTATCATTATATCTTGAATTTTTAACTTGGTAATGTACATTTGATGTTATTATTCTTCATTTCCTGTTGTTTGATATATTTAACAAGCAAATATAAAATGGAAATAAGCATACTTTACAACTTGACGATGTCTAATCATCTAACTGAAATTAGAAGGCAACTTTTCTATTTGCCACTATTGCAGATTTTTCTACCACCATATGGCAGGATCATAGGCACAAATTAATGCTGCATGTACAAGGAAGCTCAAATGTGTTAACAACGACCAGAAAATGCTTCACAGAAAAATCGTAAGATACAATAGAAACAAAAAGAATGGCAAGAAGACTCTGCAATAAGCTTCTGCTGAAATTTGCAGCTAAACGAACTACCAGATAATTTAAATATACAAATGCAAAATAAAAGAGATGAACAAGTGTCATTGAACACAAGAGGAAAGTCAACAAGAGAGCTCAAATTTACACCAGGGATGCAAGTACTCAGAATATGGTCAAACATTAAGATTTTGTGCTAGAACTTCTGCCTTAATAGTCAATTCCAAGATTTGAAGCCAATTAAGACATAAAAAATAGGAAAGAACAAACGTACCGCTCTTTCTGATGTCCCCGGAGGACCATCAAGTATCTTGATACGAGCCCTTGTCTCCTCAACTATTTTTTTAATGAACTCCCCCTTACGTCCAATTATACTACCGACCTTCTGTGCAGGAACCAACATCCTGAAGACACTCTCTCCTGGCCATCCAGGCCACCTCTTCTCACCACCTCCAACCACTGGATCATCCTCATGCTCCTGTTTTGGTTGAACCTGTGTATCATCATGCTGTGAGTTTTGCTGTGAAATCTGCTCCAAGTCCAGTGGTGAATTCTGCTGTAATTCCAGCTCTGAATTCTGTTGCAAGTCCAGCTGTGAATTCTGTTGCAACTCCAGCAATGAATCCTGCTGCACCTCCAGCTGTGGATCCAGCTCTGATTCCTTCTCTGACTCCTGCTGTAAGTTCACCTCCAAATTCTGCTCCAAGTTCTCCTCCAAGTTCTCAGGTTCTTGTACCTGCTCCACGGCATGTTCTGGAAAGCTTTGATCAGCTTCAGCCATGATGGTTGTGCTGTAAGCAAAAAGGAAAAAAATAATAATAATTAAGAAATGAAATTTAATAGAATGTACACACCCAACTCATTTTCTCTTCAAATAAAAAACCATCAAATAACATCCTCAAGGCAAAAGGTTGCACAGCAAAGTTTCTACCCTCCAACCAAACATTGACGAATAAAAGAAAAACAGTACGGCACAACATGGAATAAACCAACAAAAAGAGGGTAAGAACCAAAATGGAAGATTCAGGTTATAAATTTTGGTCTGGATTTCAGAATTACTATGGAACGCCATCAAATTTCAGTGGAAGGGTTTAGTTGAAATCCTGGATTATGATTAAAAAACGAATAAAAGAAAAAAAAAAAGCACTTCATAAATCATAACTGTATGGAGCCAAGCTCCTAACTCAATAATAATAAATAAATCAATAATACAGGTAACAGAAAAAAAATCTCAGTTATGTCCATTTAGAAGAAAAAGAAATCTATCTGAATGTCTTAAAGCTAACAACTACGCAAATCTCTTATTTTATCCACACTAACACCAATGCTTTCTTCTTTGAAGATGACATTGCAACTTGTTAAGTATCATCAAAAAGAGATTAGCAAGGAACCTAAGAACCACTCAAGCATTGGAAATCCGAAAAACCCTAACTTAACCCAGTAAGCAATTAATCTGAAACAACTATAAGAGAGCACAAAATCACAAGACACAAAGAACCAATTAAAGAAATCGGCTCAAAGATTCAAATCAGAAAGAAAACTACACCAATAAGAATCAGCAGCCAGAGATTGTAACTTAGAACCCTAAAAACGGAGATTGCGAGATTGGATTAGACTTACATGAGCGAAGAGAAGGGATAATAGAAACACAGAGGAGGAGAAAAGGGTCTTCGAAAAGTGACGAAATTTTAGTATAATTCGTTGGGTTTGGAAGGGGTTTCGTAGAGGAGAATCGAGAGGAAGAAGTAGTTTGCGACCACACACTGTGAAATTATATTGAGGAGGCATTTAGGGATTGGGGTTTCTCGGTTTCCATTTTAGTCCATAAGAGAAGCTAAAAATTGCAATTTGACCCCTGGTTCCTGATAAATTGCAATCTCTTTTCGTAGTAAAAATGGTAAATATAAAATGAGTTTTGCATACCATACTCCTATGCGGTAATATAAGGAAAATTTTTTATATTATATTTTTATATATTATTAAATGATTAAATACATTAAATATTATGAATTTCAAATAAATAAAAAAATTAATTATTTAAAAGACACGTAAAATTATATAAAAAAATTATCTATAAATCATTTTCTTATAAATTTGGCAAAAACCCTTTTTAAGCCCTCAAATTTACCCTAAAATAGTATTTAAGCTGCCAAACTAAAAATGAAGCAGATAAGCCCTCTAACTCTTCTAATGATACAAATAAGCCTTTATCATTCATGAGTGTTCATGCTTTCATTGTGATATTAAACATGAAATACAGTTTGGTCTATTGGTGAGAAGGGCTTATTTGCATCATTAACAGAATTAAAGGGTTTATCTGCTTTGTTTTTAATTTAGAGACTTAAATACTATTTTAAGGTAAGTTTAGGTGTTTAAGAAGGGTTTTTACCTATAGATTAATGTTAAATTCCTTAAATCAAATCAAACTTAACACCGCTAGTTGCTATCATCATCCTTTCAATGAGTAGTACTAGGGGCACTCGCCTCCTGCACTCTCCAGTGAACACATGCTTTTTTATTGGGCCACGTAAGCTTGGTGAGGTACCTCTCCCCAACCACCATAACGTGGCCCAATGAAAATGGAAGTGTTGGTTGGAGAGTGCAAATGGCGAGTGTTCCTAGCATTGCTCCCTTATGCTAAGAAAAACCAAAGCTAGATCTGATAATCGAATCTCCAGTTGATTATTAATTCAAATTAATTTTTTAATCATTAATTTTGTAAAAAATAAAAAAAAA